CGGATGCTGTGACGCGCCTCGCCGGGGACTAGCCGTTTGTTTCCCTGCATACTCTCAATTTAAACTGTTGTCTCCGCTGTTGTCTCCGCTCTGTCTGAGTCTGGGAGCCGGATGCTGTGACGCGCCTCGCCGAGGACTTGACTCCAGGCCCTTAACCCCTAACCCTGAACCTTAGCCTTAAATCCTAAACTGTTGTCTCCGTCCTGTACAAAGTGTTGTCGTTTCGAGTTTTGCTGTCTTGTTCGAAATTCACGCAACATCTTGATTGGTTTATTGCTGTTTGGGGTCTTCGCTGGTGTAATTTTTCAACATGTTTTATGTGACGCCCTGAAACTAAAGTCTATGTGAACTTAAATGTGCGGCTTTATGGAAAATTGCAATACTCTGTATTTCATGAAACGAATCTGTGTGAACTTATACAACAAGTTGGATTTTTCGGACTGAATGGAAAGATACTACTAACTTGTGTTATTTCAGATTTTGTTGATGTTTTATCAAGAGATTGTGGATAGTTAGGATGAGAATAAGAAGCTTGTTGAAACCGTAAGGGTCCCGCTTCTGGGGAAAACACATGAGGCGTTTGGCGAAGTTAAAACTAAGTGGCGAAAGGCCATCCGTAAGTGACACAGAAGCCACAGACCTGTAGCATCAACCCATGAGGCAAAATTGAGCCTCAAAGTTAGTTCAGGTGACGGCCAACGTGACGGGGACGCCCTCTGTCGCCGTTTGCGTAGAGGCCTTACAAGCGGGGTTTTTTCCGACCTGCAAAGGGTTTAGTCAAGTTGGTGTAGCGGTTCAGGGATTGAGTCTCATTGGTGTTTTTGAGCGATTGCAGCAGCGTGTCCCATACGTTGCACACCCACAACCCCCGGGAACTGAACAACCGGCAAGAGATAGAGCCGTGGCTAAAAACCGTCTCTTGCCTGGACATTCTGGACAGACAAACAAGACACCGCTGTAACATCTGGAGTTCTACAGCACTTCAAACATCACGCGCGGCAGCGTGCGTTTAGAAGTCGTTGAGGCCATCCTCACTCAGCAGTGTCCTGAAAGCCTCCAGTTGCAGCATTCCCACGCACCTAGCCTCCATATGCACAAGTTGACATGACCCCGGGGCCGAGCATAACGCTCCACACCTATCCAGCGTGCGTAGATTTATGGCTTTGGTGTTGTCCACATGGACAGTGAGCGCCTCAAGGAGGAAGTCGTCTTTGGTAAAGGAACTTGCAGCACAGCCAGTCACACTGCTGGGAATGATGCGGGGCTTCCTTCACAAGGCTCTCAGCAGTGGTCATGTCTAACTTGTGGCCGCTGCTTGTGGCATTGGGGCCTCTAGTGACCCTGCTATACGGTCGACCAAGTTTATTAAGGAACAGGCGTTCCTTCGCCAGACTCCGGATAATAAATGAGAATTTTCCTGCAGTTGAGGATCCGGAAAATTTGTTTTCCAGCTCGAAATGTTCACAGCTTTGCTTTGCCTTCACTTCAGCATTGGGTGGAGGTAACCCAACCCTCTGTGCCCGCACCGGAGTGGAATTGGGAATAGACAGGCAGCAGATAGGCTGAGGGAGCTGGCTCACGGCTGGGTGGCGTGGACTTGACGGCTTTCGGGAAATTTCGTTCTTTCCTGTACAAGGCAATTTGCTGGGGGCTGGGGGGTCCGAGGAAAATAGTTTTTGAATTCTATACTTTGTGAGGCAGTTGGGTGGGGTTGGGGCTGGGTGGCGACCAGCCCGCTGCATGACCCCGCGGGCGATTGAACGTCCGGACTTCAGGGCCTAGGTCCGTGCAATACCACTGAACCAGGAATTCAGTTTTCAATTCCTACCCTGGCGGGGTTGGGGCTGGGTGGGGCCGGGGCTGCTGGGGGGGGGGGGGGGGGGGGCTGCTTGTTCTGTCTTGTTCCGTCATGTGCCATCTTGGTCCGTCTTGTTCCGTCATGTTCTGGCATGTTCCAGCTGGGGGACCACTCATTTCGCCTGTTCCGTCTTGTTGGTTTCCTTGCAAGACCTCTAATGATTACTCTAATGTCGCTTATTCTTCGAGAGATAGAAACCCCAAAGCTTCGGCTGCTGGAATTTTTTAAGACTATATTCTATGTTATATCTTATCCAGTACATATATGATACGTTTTGTGGTATATGCTATACCTTATAAATTGTCTCTTACATCTCATACCTTAAATTTACATCACATATAATATGTACTATACATATATTATTTACGTATATAGAGCTTGTTGTATATTATACACTATTTGCTTTATAATATAGATTGTATATGATTGTTATATATAGTATTATATTACATCACTTTATATGATATCATATCATGTTATATGGTATTATATTATATTGTGCTATGCTTCATTATATACTATATCATGCTGTGTCATGTTCTTTTATAGTATGTTATGCTATACTTTTTTATGTTGCATTACGTTACAGTAGAACATATGATAATGTATGATACCGTATTATACAATAATATTAAAGAATCTTTATTGTGGTAGTATATATATATATATATGATAAATACCCCATATGTTTGTATATTATGGTATATAACATTACTTTTGATTTTGCATATTCTACCATATAACATCACATTGATCCATAGCATGTCATGTTGTTTTATAATATATCATGTTTTATCCTGTTACATCTCCGTATATCATGTTGTATATCATTGTATCAAAAATACATAGCTATATATACATATACACAAAAGTAACTATCTATCTATCTATCTATC